ATGGGAAGAGTTTTTTTTGGGCGACAATTCATTTCTGAAGCCATATCCCAAGTTTTAATAAAAATAAATGCGCTACCTGTCGCCTTAGCTAATACAATATTCAGCTCTCAGTAGCAAAAAAAAAAGAGAGAGTCTTAGATGTGTCAGAGTGTAGGAGCTATTTTCCCAGGCTTTATTACTGAAGTTATTCAAAATGCTTTGAATAATTCAAATGAATGTCTTTCTAGACATATTAGAGTAAGTAGTTCACAAATATCTGCCGGCATAATTTGATTGCCAGTTTATTTTCCAGAACCAAGAGAACACACAGCAGGGTTCATCTTTCCCAGACTTCCCCTAATCAAATTTTAACTGGCAGGTTATGAATTGTGCCAGACAGAATAGACCGCCAGTAAATCTCACTCAGAGGAGGAGGTACTTTGAAACTCAAACACAAGATGCTACAGGAGTGTGTGTTTTTCAAGTACCCACTATTCATTAAAAAAAGCTTCCATTATGATGCTCCCCACCTTTATAATAAAAGTTTTTTTTTTTTTTGACTGACTCTGATTTGGTGCTACAACAATTAATAGCTGTATTCTATTCAGGTGGTGAGGTCAGGCTGTGCTGCATCACCGTAAATCTGCCAATTAGGAGAAAATGGGTGAGTTTTTTTTTTTTTAAATTGGAAAAAAATAAAACTAAATCTAATAGAGAGGAGGAAAGCTCATCCTTAAAACCATTCGAAAAGAGACAACGAGGATATATTTTTAAGCATGATGCTTAAATAGAAATTGGCAGTAGTTTTATTGCCCCTTCCATGCGGTTGCATTTAATTAATTAAAGAGGGCTCGCTCTCTCCTTTGTCAATTTTTTTTCCCTTTAGGAAACCAAAGTTGTAACTTCTGAGAAAAATTATTCACACAATTATGCACATGCAGTACCACACCATCACCACTATAGCGCAGTTCACAATCCCCTGCAACAGCTCCACACTCTGCACCACCTGCATTATTGAAATACGCCTGTCACTACCAAAGTGGGTCCAGCGAGATCAAACGACGGCCAGTGTGACGGAAACAGTGGGAGGCCTCGTCTAGTTTGCAGTGGGCCAGTGCAGATGACTTTTTGGCAGCATTTGAGAAAACTTTCTTCTTCTTCTTCCGTTTAAAGGAACAGATATTGCTAAACAGAGGATGGGAACTGTTGCATTGTGGCACAATTGCTTACTTTACCATAAATGCTACATAGCATACAACTGTTGTATACAGCTGTGAGCACAAAAAATGTGTGCTTATGTATGCATTAAAAAAATGGCAGAGGAGCACAGTAACGCTGATCACCACCAGCAGCAGGAAGAAAGACACTTGGGAGAGGAGTTAAAAATCCACACACGTAATCCGTAGACACAAAGTTTTAAGCACACACGGATGTTTGTTTCGCTCTTCTATATAACGAGGAAGCAGAATGTGAGAGACCCGGTCTCTTCCCCACCACCTCGTGGTGCCAAGACTGTCACTTTGTTTTCGGTTTGGCAGGTGAGCACAGCTGTTCGACTGGCAAACTGCTGTCATCACACAGAGAATGGGAGGTGAGAGCGAGAGACGGGGAGTTCAGGAAGACAAGACAGCAGGAAAACGAGGGTCTAACTGTAAGAAAGAGAGAGTAATGGGGGGGGGGGGGGAGAGGTTAACTAGGAGAGGCTAGAAAAACATAACAGGAAGGATAGACATGGTGGCAAAAGATTAATAACAATAATAATGTACGTTTTTTTTTTTTTTGAAAGATCTACTATTTTTTCCCAAGGAAAAGTATATTTACATGTTCTGTTACATCAGAGGTTTGTGTGAGAATTTAGCTCACTACCAATGAGAAGAAAGGACAGCTTGTGTGAAAAAGTGATGGAGAATGACAGAGTTCTTCAACCTTATTGTGATTCTGTGTTTTTCTTTAATCCTTTGTCATCTTTCTTGGGTATGCACAAAAACTAACTTGCAGTTCTCTGACAGATGCATGCATTTGTGGTTTTCTTTGCTGCTATTTATCTCTGCAGCATTTTTTTTTTTTCAACGACAGTAGAGCATAGGAAACACCTGAGACCACTGCTCTACTGTCATAGTCATCCTTCATCTCAGCAGGCCACAGATCTATTGTGTGTTGCAGAGGAAGATGGAGGTCAGCTTTACAGAGGTGAAATGTGAAAGCTTCTTCAGTAACTTCAACTAGAATAAGTATACGCCTGGCTAATAAAATAAGTGGTCTTTCTAATCAAAAGCCAAAATGACAGGTGAAAACACCAGAGGGGCAGCTTGTTAGAAACTGGAATTATATTTGATTGCAGGAGAAATGAAACCTAAAATAAAGTGGTAAAGGTACAAGATGGAAGCAACTTAATTGTGGGAAATTTAGTTATGAGGAAAATTCAAAAACACTCTTGGGGTTGCCTATTCCACATCCCTATGGAAACCTATCTACCCATCTACCACACACCAAGACAAATCAGATAGTATTTTAAGTGCAATTAAAGGAGCAGTCTGATTTTTTATTTATATTTTTTTGTCTGTCTGCGGCGTGACCTATGCCCTCACTACAAATGATTATCCTCACATGACTTATTTGTTTACTTGAAGAGTTTTGAGCCCTGTGTCCCTTTGAAGAGCAAAAAAGGGGGAACCTATTTGCAGACTTATATAAATTTGTATTTTGTTGATACTTGAAAAACATTTTAAGATCTGCAAGAATGCATTTTTCTTAGTTCAAGTCTTCAGTCCTCCTGAAATATGTTTTAATTCAAATTTGGCAAATAGATTGCTTTCCGAGCAGAAGGGGACATTGTTCTGTGATCTGACTTGTGTCCAGTTTATCAATTTTATGTTCAACACTTTATCCTTAGTTTTTCCTGAGGCACATCTTGTGGAATGATATTTTGTAAAGATGAAATTTTGGCTTTTTTGTATTATCTTAGTTTAGTGTATAATTCTGTCATATGTACACTGCAGTATATACTAACAACAAACAAAGCCATTAGTCCATCCATTAGTTTAGATTATTGTGCTTCTTGCTTATTTGCCTATAGTTGCATATTGTAGTTAGGATTCAGTGGCGTGTAAGCCAAATGTTTTTCTTCCAAGTCCTGCTGAGAGATCCTCCAAACACTCCTACTCCACAGAGTTCCATTCTTCCTCAGTTTTCCTTCCTAATTGTTCCTCCTGGAATACTTTCAGAGGGAGGCAGCAGGGGGAGAATCCCTGGTGTTTACCCAAATTTAACTGGTTCCTTTTCATTATACAAGAGCAGTGGTTTGATATCTAGGGCTTCCCAAATTAATGAACTCTCTCACTCTGTCTCATAGTTAGACCAGCTACCCCAACGATAAATATCATCTTGGCTGCTTGTCTGTGAAATTGTTCTTTTAGTCACCGCCAAAGGCTTGTCGCCATACATGAGGGGTTTACTGATGATTGTAAATTGCTGGGAGGCCTCAGAAACCATCAGCCAGTTGAGTGATAGTTTTTCTTCCAGCATCCCTTCTGAATAAAACTATATAATCATATTCACATGTATAACTGGAACTTTCATGGGCAATTTTGTTGATATAAGCTACCCCCATGTATCTGTTTCATAACTCACTACATTTGTTATTTCAGATATTCCAGATTCCAATATTTTCCACATAAGTTTCAAGGCTTAACTGATGTAACCTGTAGTTGAAACTCTCTGCCAGGTCTGGCTATTGACTGAGAAAATGGGCTCAGGAGTTGGGGATGTTTTTCTCCATTAACTGTGCATCAATAGCACTTCCAATGCATGCCAGAGCTAATAAGTGACCAGCTGGTGCTTAGAAACCAGGCACCTGAAGCCTTGTCAGGAAACATGCAGTCAGAGTCTAGCCCCGCTACAAAACAAATTTCTGGTGACGGCATGAGATACACTTAAAACAGTGAGGACCATGGCACTTCACGTCTGTCCTCTCTATTAATTAGCAGTAGGTGCGTCAATGGCACAAGTGTACACTGTTGAGAAAGAGTGCAGGCACCTGCAACTGATTAGTTTTTCATTGAGGTAAGGAGAAGTGTCAAACTGTGGCCATTCTTTTCTTGCACAATGGAAAATCCATATAGTCAGAGTAGAAGGCAAAACTGCCCTTTATTACTATGAACCCCCCCAAAACTATATTTCCAGTTTTATTTGGTTTAATGTTTTTTATGCAATTATGCTTGTTACATTGTATACATAATTTAATGTGGATAATAAGTGCAGCTGTTCGGTAATGAGCATGTGGAAACAAGTCTGTCATGGACGTGCATGTTCCTTGCCAATAGAGCTGATGGAAATGCCAGAAAAGCTTATAAAAAATATTCTGCAGTAGAAAACTGCTCTTCACAATTAACTGTTTAACAAGTGTCCTGCTGCCCAACTCGAATGGCTTTATTTTTCACCTAGGGTTCGGTATTTGTATCTAATTAACTCTGCAATTTCTCTCCATTAAAAATGTGTGCTCAGCTATCTGCGCTTGTTTTCTCTGCAATGTGTACAAATCATAACAGGACTGGCTGAACATCACTTTGGAGCAGTAAGGCCACAGTGATCTTTAGCTTCCTGTGCAGTGCCAGCGTAGCATCGTACAGCAGCAAAACTCGAGCTGGCTTAGCTGCAGTGGAAGAAAATGTGATCTGTCAAGATTCTGCATTACCCAGAGAAATAAACACATACATAAACACAACATTCTGGCCATATTGTGCATAATAGTAATGATGAAAATTAAAGTGGTATTGTGAATTCCCTTTAGTCAAAATCCATATTAAGGAAATTTTGTCAGACCACATTTCCTCCTGCAGAAATAATCTTTCAGGCTATACAGATGTAGAAATAAATAAATAAATAAAAATAATTATCTATCTCTCTATCTATTTCTCTATCCCTCTATCTATCTATCTGAAAACACTGGATATTAAGTGGAAGTGAGAGTGCACAACTTACAGCAGGTAAGACCATTTTCATTCTGCTGTTTACCCTTGCAGAGTTTCTACATCTATCCTCCCCTCCACATAACTCAGACTGTCCTTGAGGCTGCCACAGAGGCACAACAGAAGATGGCAAAGCAAAGATGGCCAGATGATCATGCTTCTGGAAGGCTCCACTGGGCCTAATGCTTTATGGTTTCCAAAGCACTAAGACCTTTATAAAGAAGAAGGTAATGCGCACAAGAATCAATCACAATCCTTACTAAAACCTGATAGCAGGTTTCAAAATGATCTACGAGAAATCTTGGTTATCCTTTTGCTGTGAGCCATTTTGTGCTTTGAGAAAACTCTCTGGGGAAAAATGATCACGAATGGTTAATGTTAATGGTGCAACATGTTACGGAAGTTCAAATGTAAAAGTGGAGAGCAACATGTAATCCAGTGAATCATGTGCTAGGATCCCTAATCTTACTGACCCCACTTTTCTGACCTCAAATGTGATCCTAGAGAGTGGTACAGGAAATGTTTTGCCTTTGCCTGGAACAACCAGCTTTGAAATCCCACGCCAATGAAAGTCTCCTCTTATCTTTCCTCATGAATTTTAATACAGACACAAAGATTACATTTCTGTAGATGCGGCAAACCCAGAGAAAAGAAATTGCCAAGATTCAGATTGTATGCATTCGAAAGAACACTTATTGTTTTCTATGAATATATCAGCAAACCCGGGGTTGGATAAAGCAAAATGAAATCGTTCTTCTAAAAATGGATAAGTGAAAATGGTGAATCTTAATACATCTCTTTCCTAGATTCAAAATACATAATAAATCTACTTTCCAACTTTTATCTTAGATTTAGGGATAATAAATTGTTGATACTGTGATCACAATGTTCAAGTTCTCTCTTAGAGTACAAATTTGTATGACTACTACTTCCTGTAGAAGGATTATCTCAGTTTTAAGGTTCCCTTTTTATGCTGATTTAATAGCGGATGATTTTATTAAGTTTGAATACTCCCGTCTTTCTAAACCCTTCCTCCTGTAATGCCCAGTCTGCTGCGATTGGTCAGCAAGCCTGGCAGAATGCACCATCAGTCACTACTGTCTGTGAACCACAAAAAGCTGCAAAACCTCTGAGTTCAAGGTTCAAGGTTCTTTATTTGTCACATGCATAGCTATACCAGTATAACACAGTGAAATGTACCCTGACACGCTCCTCGACATGTGCAAAAATAGGGGGGTAGAGGAAGAACATTATATATATATATATATATATATAGTATATACATTGGGTGAATGTGCAGTAGTAGCAGCAAGCAGGTGAATTCTGTACATTAATAAGAATAGACAATCTGACTATTTTACAGAATAGACAGTATAAACATATTTAAAATTAAAGGAATTTGAAATGTACATTGTGCCTGGGTTTAGAGTGTCTGGAAGAGAGTCCTGTCTCAGTCAATTATAGATGATGTGAGAGGGCGGGTGTGTGTGTTTAGGGCCCGGATGGCTTGGGGATAGAAGCTCCTCTTGAGTCTCTCTGTCCTTGCCCAGATGATGCGGAACCTTCTACCAGATTGCAGAAGTTGGAACAGTTTGTTGCCAGGATGGGAACAAATGATGGTTCACCTATTAGTGGTGTGCAATCATGTAAATTTTGGAATCAATCTGATACCAAAGAAATGCGGGGAGATCAGGGAATCATCATCAATCTGCAAATTCTCCACAAATTTTAAGGACCACTAAGTCATTGATTTTTATTTCTTTTTTTTAACTTTCTACAACAATTAGTTAACACAACTAAACACACCTTTCAGCTTTACATGTGTTTTCAAACTGTTTTTAGAGAGCTGAAAGGTTAATGTGGCTCTAAATTTTTTTTACACAGTTTGGTGGGCTACATTCTGAACTCAGAGGATAGAAACAATGTGTTGATCAGATTGTGCTAATATTGATCTCATACCAGTACCAGTGTTGGTGTCAATACTATCGCTATTTGGATTGATCCACCCACCTCTGTCCCCTATACTTGGTTTGAGCCAGAACAAAGAGAGATTCCAGTAGTTGTAGTGTTGTGTTGTTTCTATTTCCAAAATGACTTGCATCAAGTCAAGTCTAGCCAAGCATGAAGGCCAGATTACACAGAAACTACTGAGAGGAATGTCATGAAACATGGTTGAGAGGTAGAGAATTGGAAAAAGGGAAAACCTTAAAATCTTTCACACCAGTTGGGATCACTTTAGTAAGAACTGCACAACTAGGAAATGCTACGGTGGCCCTGAGAGGCCAAACGGGCTGCAGCTTAAGAAAACACCAGCTATAAGAAAAACACTGCAAAAGCACAACAGAATAACCCGACAATAACCCGACGGACCAGTTGCAGGAACCAAAATATCCTAAGAATTGGGAGACTTGTAACTGGGAGACACTTAAAAGAAGTGGAGGATCTATCGGTTTTGTGAGGAAAGAAAAGATGAGAGGTAAGTGTGTTAGCCTAACTATTAGCCTAAAAAGCCGTCATCACTATTATATGAATCATGAGATTAAAATACACTTACCTAGCATGTTTTGGTTCCTGCAACTGGTCCGTCGGGTTATTCTCGCCCCATAAACCCTTCCCTTGTGCTTTTGGAAATCAGTTCTTTCCTATTTCCGTTTTCGTTTTCCCTATTTCCATTGTGTTTTGTGTGCTTTTGCAGGGTTTTTCTTATTGCTGGTGTTTTCTTAAGTTGTAGTCAGTTGCCCCTCAGGGCCACTGTAAAATGCCATAGTTGGATGATGCACTCTTCACGTCCCCATACAGAAACCCCATTTATACGGGGAAGGCTAACAAAGCAGCCAGCTCAGTGTTGGCTGGAGTATAGAATAATGCATTTTAACAATGCATTTAAAAACTCTGCATAATGTTCTACTTCTCGTTGTGAACAATGTGGTCACCTTGCAATGTAAAATATCAACAAATGCAGGTTTTCCCATATCTTCACACTGCATCAAACACCTTTCTTTGTTGCACTGCTGATCGGAGGATGCCTGCTTGTCTTGTGTAATATCCCCAGAAGATCAGATGGTCTCAATTTTTTCCTTTTAGCATCAGTGGCACAGGGTCACCTTGTCCTTGAAGTTGAAAACAAGTTTCACTTAGCCACCAAGCAGCAGCTGTGTGTCAGGAGAGGCTTTGCTCTACATTTGGAAACCAGCTCAGGGACCAGCGAGAGCATCTTTACCAACACAACCATATGACAAGGGAAATGGCTGCCAGCCCCCCCCCTCCACACACACA